AAAAACTCGGCAGCGTCATTTGGAGTTGAGCTCACGCTCTAACCAACTGAGCTACGAGGCCTACTGCAAATAATGGAATCCCCTAGTCCTATTATAGCATGCTGACTGTACCAACAGCACTTCCTAAGAAATCAATCTTGAATGTATCAAATGACTACCAGGCTCACATAATAAATGGGTTTGTAGGCAGAGTTGAGCAATTCATTTGACCCCGTTGTGAAAAATCCGGCGGCCTCCGTGAGTTATCAACCCACAACAGTCTACGCCCTAACCACCTGAACTCCAAGAACCTACCAGGAGCCGTATGTATGTCGGATAACAAAAATGTAAAACACTCCTTCTAAATATGCTGTTAGTTCCGGCTGCACAGGTTTGAAGTTCTCTACGTCCTTCCAGTTAAAATTCTGTTTCCCTCTTATGAAAGCTGTCCCCCCTTCCTCTGAGTCGCTTGTCCGCGTCCTCCTCATCCCTCACATGCGAGCAGTCCCCCTGACCTTTTTACTCGATTGCGCACGACGCCGTCCGCTGGCTTGCGGTTGAGCAGTCGTCTGACAGTCAAGTTCCTACGGCCTATTCTTCCATTCATTATGTAGAGAATATACCTTTCCTACCACTTTGGCCTTCCCATGACTTTCATCCTCCTAAGGAACAGAGCCTGAAGATCGCAGTTGTCAGGGTTTTACTTACTCAACCCCCTGCGATATTGGTGACTCCGATGTGAACGAGACTATCAAAATGTTTAAGAGGGCCAGTTGGTTTCTGGTTTAGCGAAAAAAAAAGCTTATATATAGGACTTTCAGGCTACGCAAACCCTGAAAAAAACTTGCCTGAATACGTTCGGATACTCATCAGCCAAAAGATTGGATATAAAGCTGCCGATACCGGAGCCTGTTCCCCCACCCATTGAGTGCAGGACAAAGAAGCACTGGAGACTGCTGCAAGCCTCCACAGATTTTCTGAGCACATCCAGAATCCGCTCGGAGTACTTGCTGCCGTATAAGCAATGCCCGACGGCCCAGTTATTGCCGGAACCAGACACATCGGTAACCAGGTGGGCAGATTCGAAAAGCCGGCCCAGTGGGCTGCGCAGCATCTCCTGCACTACACCCTCTTCCATGTCTACGAGGACGGCCTGTAGAGGAAGAAATAGAGATGTCAGCCAAAGAAAGCAGCAGACGTACGCAGCCCCGCAGACAGTTTCTTTTTGTCACCGAGAGAGAAGAATGTCTGCATTGTTCTTCCGATCACTTCCGTGAAGGACAAGGAAACTTTTAAGTGCATATTTCAATCAATTATGCTTATTGTACATACAAGATGCATATCTAGCCACTCAGATAATGGGACAGTATAGGAAATACCATGCTATTATACTAAGCCAATTCTGGAACATGTTGTGCCCTTAGTTAGACAGGAGACGTTCTGTAACTTTCAAACTATAGCTGCATACGGTAGCAATTCTATAGTTAGCCTGAAGACAGTAAATGGCACTACCTTGCGTTGAGCTAATCATGCAGAAACACGGTACCCTGAGGCTGTTCGTTGTCTATCGAAAGCCACATCCAGTGACTACAAGAAAGCCATGTGGTGGACATAATCGAAATCGGTGGTCGAACTCTCATATACCTAATACCATATCGTCAATGTAGTTTGCCACTTTGTCACTACCTAAATCTTCAGCTAGTATTAAACACACGTTTCTTTAACCATTCAGTTTACTAAAAATCCCCATATAGGTTACGACTGTATAGTAGGTTCAAATTTCCTACATGCACGACCAGGCCGCAATGTAGCTTGCCACT